GAGAGGGAGAGGGAGGGAGAGAGAGAGAGAGGGAGAGAGAGGGAGAGAGAGAGAGAGAGAAGAAAGAAAATGATAAGAAATGTGTCAACCTATGGTTTGGAGGTTAGAGGGATTACTCTAATGTTATCATAGGGCCTGCTGCATGCAATTGCCAAGGAAGAAGACAAAGGCTTACCCTATAACATCGACTATTTGCATGTTAGAAATGAAAGTGTTTTAGACATAGCAATGAATTGTCTTAAATCCCAATAGTATCCTTCTGAAAAAATTTTAAAACAAGGAAGAGGCTCATCCACCTTGATAAAGGATGAAGAAATCATTCTCTGAAAGTATGTATCGAATAATCTTATCCCCTTATCTTCTCAGAATCTAATAACACCAAAGTTTGAATAAGGAAATATAATATAACAATAAAAGGAAAGAGAGACAGATCCTAGGATAATTACTCATTTAGAGAAGAAATATTTTTCCCCAAGGTAACAACTGTTATTGAACTCACATTTAAAGCAGTTATATATATTATTCGTTATAAATAATATGTAGTAATGACATATATATTAGATATAGCAAATAAAATATTATCTTCAGTGCCACATCAAGTAAAAATAAAAATAATATACTATTCTTCAGTGTTGACATACATTAATCTGGCTTTAATGACTGATTAGGTGACTTTTAACTTCATAGCAGATCAAAATTGTGTAGTTTTTCTATACAAGGCTTCCTCATATTGACTTTTTTTTTTGAAGAAAAAAAAGTAAAATTTCAATGTGAGCTGCTTGACTGGCACATGGTCCCTCATCTTCACATGGCTGGTCCTCTGCAGCAGCTTCTCTCCTGGCCACCCTGTAGTTAATTAACCCATTACTTAACCCAAGTGCATGGGAACACATTTTAGGTGCCCATGTACCCTCTCAGGAAAAGCAGCCGCTTTTCTCTATGTCCTTTCTAGGTTAGATGTAATAGATGTGGAAGCTTGCATATTTCTAAGACAGGGAAACTTTTTTCTGTTGAGGGCCATTTGGATATTTATCACATCATTCGTGGGCCATACAAAATGATCAACTTTACACTTAGCCTGCTATATTTGCTCAAACATTTCATTAACTCACCCCTGATGCCATCGCAGGCCCAGACGAAATGATTTTGAGGGCCTTATACAGCCTGGCCCGTGGGCTGGATGTTCCCCACCCTTGTTCTAGGAAGTCCTTTAGATGGCTGGACAAGTGGAATTAATGGCCTTACAATTGCAAAATTGAAGACCTTACATATGATGGATCTGAAGCCACATTGGCTTCCTTTAAGAGTGTCAAAGTAAAATACAATTCCAGGCCACCTTGGGGGATGCCCATAAAGGCCACCACTTTGAAGGTGACACCGGAAACTCTGAACTCATGACTTCCCAAGGTTATTCTTTCATTTTGTGAGGCAAACAAGCAAATATGTAGAGCTCTTGGGTCCCAAAGTGACCAACACAGGTTACGTGGTCCCACTTACTCATCCAGTTTCTGACATTTAAGAAGCTCTGTTGACTGGTGAGGTCAAACATTAATAAGAAACCCATGGCATCTCTGAAAAATGCAGTGGTGAGGCTCCGGAATCTGCCAAGAAAGCACAGTGGGTAGTTCTGAAAGTTAGTCCACGAACATATAGTGGTGACAATACAAACAACACTGTTTCCCTCTCAACTATGAAATCTCTATGGCGTCCATTATGGGTTACCCTACGGAATGGGAGGTGACCCTGAAAGACTGCTGAAGGGCCAGAGGAGGATGTCTGCTGGTAGGTTCTTTTGAAGACCACATCCTGGCTTTATGTTCCACAGCACTTACGCACAAGGAATTTGTAACATTTAATCACACACATGCTTACACAGCCCCTTGGACTCGTTGGCTCATGGGCCTCCTGTGATCCACAAATAAAACTGAGAACACTTTAGAATATTGGGACTTTAACTTATACTTTTCAGTCATTCTTGTCTGTGCCCAGAAACTTTGGCTTGAAAATGAGTGCTTATGATTACATGTGGAAAACCACAGCTTGTTAGCATCTGGATCCAGAGTTCTTTTGTAGGGAAAAGCAATGTTGGTGAGAAAACTCTTGTGAGCACTCTTTGGAGTTAAAAAGTGGCATCTATGTCTCATGAGGAAGAGGGAAGACAGTGAAGAAAGGAGGATGAGGAAAATGATTAAGGGAACCGAGGGAAGGTCAGACTCAGTTGTTAGGGAGAAAAGGGAGCACTCATATCTATTAGAGGATTTTGAAGAATACACGACGCTGTCCTGGGCAGTGTAAAGACTGTCTCTCCTCTGCTCTGACCCCCTCCGCCACAACATCCTCAGTGCAGTGGACCATGTGCTGAGGCCCACTTTAATGTCAGGAATAGGTGAAACCAGAGTCCACATATACGGACCAGAGAAGGTGCATTTGGCAATACATTTTTAGAAAGGCACATAACTTTGAAATTAAGAAGAATATCGCTTCCTATCCTAAATGTCCTCAATTTTGGTCCCCTATTTTAGCTTATTTGTAGATTCTATGGTTTCCTCAAGTTCTATTCTTGACCTTGTCTTACTCTACACACATTCACTGGGTAATCTCATCCACTTCCTGGCTCAATTATCACCAATGTGTTGAACCCCACATTCATAGATCTAGAATTCACCTGCCTTCATACTGTATGACCAATTACTTGCTGGATATTTCCACTTGGAGGAACCTAGCATACCTGCACCTTCCCTTGTCTAAAACCAAACTGGCCTTTCTTTCTGATTTCCTTTCCTGTCATTGTTATCACCATCCTTCTGGTTGGTGACCCTCTTTCTCCTTCACCTCCTATATTCAATCACCAAATATCTCTTGTCCTTCATCTTTTTTTTAAAAAATGTATTTTATTGAATTTTTACAGAGAGGAAGGAAGAGAGATAGAGAGTTAGAAACATCGATGAGAGAGAAACATCGATCAGCTGCCTCCTGCACACCTCCTACTGGGGATGTGCCCGCAACCCAGGTACATGCCCTTGACCGGAATCGAACCTGGGACCTTTAAGTCCGCAGGCCGACGCTCTATCCACTGAGCCAAACCGGTTTCGGCTGTCCTTCATCTTTATGTCCATCCACCTTGCCACTACTCTAATTTCAAACCCATCATCTTTCACCTGGATAACTTCAACAGCCTTCTCAATAGACTTCCTGTCTCTAGTTTTTTTGGGGGGACCCGTCCCTTCCCTGGTTTCTTCCTCTGATTATATAAATCACCTGATAAAAACACTTGCATGATGATGCATTACTTTTAAGATAATGACTGAACTGTTTAATAAGCTGTCAAGGCTCACTAGCCAGATTCATCTCTGGACTACCCACAGGCATGCTGATCTTCTTTTAGTTCTTAGAAAGTTCACTCTCTCCCCTGGGCTTTCACACACGCTGTTCTTTCTGTGGGTAACCTCTCCTTAATGCTTCCTTCACCTCCTTCCCCTTTAGCCTGAAAAAGACTCACTCATACATTGTGTATGAGTATATAGTTATAGATGTAGATGTAGATGTAGATATAGATATCAGAGAAAATATCACCTCCCCATGCAGTCTTCCCAACAACCACATCAGGATTATGAGCTCCTTCTGGTACACCTGCCAACTACACTTTGTGTCCTATCACTGCCCTAAGGCTATATTACAATAGTTTGTTATTGGTCCAAATTCTACCCTAGATGGTAAACTTCATGAGCAAAGGAGCTGTGTTTCAAACTTGCTGTGCATTATATTTCATGGCCCTGAATACAGTATTTACTCATTAAATGTATGCCAAATTAAGAGGGGGAAAATAAAGAGACTAGCAAAATATAAAATTAGTAAAGATTTAAATGACTTCAATAAAAAACAAGACTTTTAATATTGAAGCATGGAGAAGAGATATTTCAATGACTATTAATTTCCAAATTAGGATATTTTTGGTAAGACATAATCATGATGATTATGAAATACCAAAAATTGTATGCAATTTTTTCTTGTGGCTTTGTTCCTACTAGCACTGAAAACTCACAGAGATTATAGTACTTTTATTGAATGGATCCCTCTCTTTGGGAACTAGCTGTACTCATAAAATTGTCTGCTACTCAGCCACAATAGTGTGGTTAAATCAACCACAACAGCCTGCTCTCTTTTCTCTCTATGAGTGTGTGTGTGTGTGTGTGTGTGTGTGTGTGTGTGTGTGTGTGTTATTTGAGGATAAGACTCTGCCTTATTCCCCTCTCACTGTTCACATGACAAAGTCGCTTAAAAACATGCTTATTGTATGGATCTGATTGGGGAAAATACTTTTGCATCCATAGCAATGTGGATAGGATATTCTTAGTCTGGACCTGGCTTATCCCCTGGGCCATTCTTCCCCAGTACCCTTGTTATCCTCCACTTTTTCCAGGACTTATTCCAGAGGGAAGGTAATTAATTTTCTGCTTTACCCACCAACTTCATTCTGTCTGCAGGGTGGAAAAATCTAGGAACCCATTTAAAAAAATCACAGATGCCAGGGTCACATTATCACTGGTTCTCCCTCACTGGGAATGAAGGCTGTGCCCTGTATCCTTTGGGCTTACACAAGGGGGTATTATTTTTTTCCTCCTTTCCATAATATCACTTTTATCAATAACCATTATTGTATATGGGTTATGCTGCCAGGTGTCCTGGAACAGGGTTGAGGTGTGAGGCCTTTTTATCTTGTTGTTTAGCTACACCTATATTTACAGAATGCAAAATCCCCAAGGGATGAATACCCCATTGTTCCCAAGACTGCCCCCAGTCTTCCCCACTTCCCTCATGGAGCAGCTGTCTTAAGGGGACAGATGAGAGAAGCCTGCCATCATGCTAGGCTGACAAATCATGTGCGAAGACATATGGGAACCACATTTTCTCATATTACTTCTTCAAATAGGAATCAAATTGGTCTACAAAACATACATCTTTGTGACAACCAAACTGACATATGAGCAGAAAGTCTTGTGAGGAATGACTCCAGCAGCACCAGCAGTGTTGAAGGATGTGTGTGAATGGAATTCACAGTCAAAAAAGCTAACTGAGAGGGCCCAGCACCTCTCCTGGCGTTTACACTCACTGAAGGCGAGAACATTTGGATGCATTTCAAACACTGCAGTGTTTACAAGCATAAACATTCTAAGACACGCGATGCGGAATGTGGAGGTATGTGCCTTCTAAAAAGCTTATCCTGACAACCTATTGCCAATTTTTATTTACTCTAATATTGAAGCACTTCACTAGCTTGGGGTCTTTAGCACGTGTGAAATCTTGTATCTCAAAGAAATATACTGCCATCAAGTAAGCAAGCAACACTCTTATCTACTGAATATCTCTTGTCTTGGACATTGTACCAGAGATGACACTGAACAACCAAGCATAGTCTCTGCCCTTATAAATCTGACAATTCTGTTCAGGTGACAAGGCTACAAGTGAATCAAAGAACAGCAAATAGAGACCAAACATAAAAAATAAAAAGATTGGCTTCATTAGGAGGTAAATACTCAACTAACTTAAGGGAGGGTAGAGTAGGTGTTGTAGGAATCTAAAAGGAAGAGGCAGCTGCTTTCAGCTGGGGGTTCAGAAAGGCCCCAGGGGAGTTGGATATGAGCGAGGCCTGGTGAAAGGAGAGGATCAGGGAAGGTGGAAAGGCAATCTGGCTGGAGGGCAATGCTGTGTCCAAGATCTTGGAGAATAAAGCTGGTCAGATGGCACAGATCAGAGAGGCTCTGAAGAAGAATGTAAAGAGATGAGAAAGATCTAAACACCCTTTCCTTCATGTCCCTCTTGGCGTAGCCCTTGTAACAATGCAAATGCCCCCTCTCCCGTTAATTCAATTAAATTCTGGAGAAAATGTTCTTCCCTATTATGAAGTACAATGGCAACGTATAACAAGAAACTTCATAGAGATTTTTGAAAATATAATTTTTGAAATCTGAACCAAACTCACAATGCTGGTTATGGTTAATTAACTATAAACAATTTCTTTTTATTTCTTAATACAAATGCCTATTTTTAAACTAGGGGGAGAGTTGCATATAATGTGGTTAAGCTTTTTCCTATATAACTGAAACCAATACAAAATAATATTGACAAGTAAATTATAACTTAAAAATAAATAAGTAAGTAATAAAATCAGTTCTTCTGCGCTATTTGTAGCTAGAAACAAAGTAATTCACTGTTACCGCTCTTGTCCTGCAGTGTCCCAAAGCTGAAGGTGCACCTTAAACGCTTTCCCTGATGATCCATTTGGCCCTTGTGTATTATAAACCTGAAAGATATGATTTTCATCAGTTTACACTGCTTTGGATTTTTGTCAACATTCAAATTCTCTGGGATCACTCAACATGTTTTTTTTCTCAATTACTATAATCAAAGTTCATAGTGCAGGATAAATATTTGCTCTGGTTTTTTTTTTTCTCCAGAAGTATCACATATACTCTCACTTTTAAATGTCAAGTACAAGTATGATTTTCAACACAGTTTAGGCATACTGCAAACTTAAATTAGACACCTTCTGTCATTTCCTCATGGAGGCAGCAAGCAGTTGATTTAGGACCCAAGTTCTAGGTTCAAAAATCAACTCTTCATTTAACCTCTCTGAATCTTATCTTCTTACCTGAAAATTGAGACACATAATCTCTCCCTACTTTACAGTCACTGCAAATTTAAATGAAATACCAAATATGAAGGCATTCTTAAAACAGTAAAATGATTTACAAATACCTGACTATCTTTTACTGTGCATTGGACTTTCAGAACGACTTAGCCATGGCATTTGCTCAGAATTTCTCAATAAGTTTACACAGGATATTTCAAGTCTTCCTTTATTAGCCATTTCTTCCAAGGCTATTTTTAAATTCTTTAAATTATGGTCTTTTGACTTCTTATTAAGCAAAGCATAACCATTTTAATATTTCATCAGCTCCCTTAAGTACGGCTTAGTGAAATGTTTCAAAGGGAAAACTACAAGGGCATCTACCTAACTCAGTGGGGGCACTCAGGAGGGGAGAAGGCACAGGAAAACCCTGTAGGGGTTGGAAGCAAATTTGCTAAGACTACACTCCAGTGTATGGACTTCAGATAAGGCACAGGACATTATAAGAAACCATGATTTACCTTCTCAACCATCATTTCCTTTGTGTGGGTTGTTTTTTCCCTCTCAATTCTTGAGGACTGAATAGATCTGTGACATCAATTGGGAGCTGCAGCCATCTTGGCAATCGAGAATACCTTGGGTGGCAGTAAATCTGGCAAGGCTTATGTGCCTATGCTACACGTCTCACATGTCACAATATCTTTATTCCTGTCATTAGCGTCTAGCATAGGAGAAGGAAGTGGTGGCAATTCTCACTTAAACTCCCTTATCTCGGAAAATAGCATGGATTGGTCTCACATTCTGTTCATAATCAGCCAGTGATTGATGGCTGAGTCTACACATAAATAAAAATGCAGCAAGAACTTACAAAACTCATGTTCCAGCTATTTGCCAATCACTCTTTTGACGTCTTTAAGAGTAGAAAAATGAACACTTGTTCTTTTTGAGGGACTTAACTCAGATTAAGAGTTAATGTTTTCCTATCCTGAATAATTCAAGTTTTGAAAGAGTCCTTAAGAATGTGTAGAAAACACACTATATAAACTCATACATTATTTATTTTAGTTGCTCTGTATACTTTTGGAGATAAGCGATAGTGTCACTCAACGTCTTTCTGTGCAAAATGTTATTTATAGTGGAGAAAGTAAAAAAATACTATAAATTAAAGTGACAGGTCATAAATTGCATGTGATAAAAGACAAATGTCTCACATGCAATAAACATAGCTTCTTAATTCTTAGCTCATCTGGGAGGATCAGCAATAAGCTTAACAGTATGGGTAAGAACTCACCACACGTTTTTCCCGAAAGTCTATTCCTACTGTTGTGATGAACTTGGGATTGAATTTATTGTCTGTGTATCGGTAAAGAAATGTCGTCTTCCCCACCCCTGAATCTCCAAGGGCCAGGAGTTTGATCAGATAATCATAGTCCCCATCGGTCATAGTGATGGTCTTGTTGGGCCTGTGTAGAAGAGGAATAATATTTTGTTAGGTTTCAAAGTTTAAAATTTTGAATGCCTTCATTCTGCCACATTCTCACTCAACTTGTTCTGAGCAGCTTCAGGAGTAAGGGCACATCTATTATTTCAGTCAGAACAAATCTTTTTACATCAGGTCAGTTAATATGGACAAAAGCTACATGATATCTATAATAGATGTTGCCACAGCAATAGTAGAACTAAAGAGTCATCACTTTTTGTTTTAAAGCCCTTTGGGGTCAGGCATATGGTGCTGGGAAGAGGGGGGAGTTACAAAGGGAACAGAAAAGCCCACCCACGATGATGCAGGTATGCCAGAGAGAGACTGACATTGTATTTGGGTAGTGGAAGAGGAAAGCCTAGAGGGCTATTTTGCATCTAATCATACAGAATGAGCTTTCTATCATGTGCGAACAAAATATTCCTTTTTAATTTTAAAATTTTAACAACTGGTATGACAACCTTTAAAAACACTAATTTGAAGTCATTTTAAAAGCAATGTTTAAAAATCTTCTGTTTTGGAATACTAAAGACTCTGTTCTCCAGTGGTAAATCTGTTATATTTGGCAAGTCTGCTAAATGTTTTCCAGGCATTAAAAAAGGGGGGAAGAGATATTAAGAGGCATAATTGTAGTAATTCTGCTAATATGTAATATTTCTCCTGACTGAAGGAACAATGTCAGTTGCCATTTCTTCCAGTGCCCTAACTTCTGCCTCAATCTTTTTTTTTCTGTTGTTACAGTGATTATGAGTGAAGATGAGCTAAGGGCCAATGCCAAGTGCACCTACTCTGGTAACATCAAGACTACCTCCACACACACTTGAAGGATACCACCTACTGAATACTTAGCGAAGTTTCCAATTTTGAATTTGGCAAAATGATTGGTGGGTTATAGACATGGTTTTGTCATAACCTTGTATAGAGAAAGGCCTATAAAGATTTTATTGGAATGGGAAGGCTTCTTTCCTCATTTTGCGAGAAGGAATGTTCTCCCCACCTCTATACTAGTAGATCCAGAAATCACTGTACTCTTCAGGAGTTCTGAAGTGATTAAAATTAATTTCAGGATTCCGAGCAAGATGGCGGCATAGGTAAACACCAGAGACTGCTGCCGCAAACAACCACTTCAAAAATACAACTAAAAGACGGAACGGACATCACCCAGAACCACAGGAAGGCTGGCTGAGGAGAGACTCTTCAACTAGAAGGAAAAATAACAGCACACCGAGGCTCAGAGGAGGCGCAGTGTGGAAAATACTCAGGTGCGGAGGTGCGCGCGCAAAGCGGGCTGGTGGCTGAGAGCGCGGTTGTCGTTTTCGGTCAGGGGGGAGTCTCAGACTCTGAGCTCCAGATACGGGCGAATCGCTGGGGACTCGGACTCAAACGGGAGAAGCGGGAGTGTCTGGCATCAGTTGGAAGGCAGCTTTCTCTCCGAGGTTTGCAGCGGTTCCTGGGGTTCTGAGAAGCAGAGCCTCTGGGAACGGGACTGAGGGCACCATAACCGCTCCCTCCGCCCGCCCTGTTGAGCCCGCCCCGCCCAAGCCCTGCGCAGAGCCATTTGCCGGATCGCCTCAGGCAAAGGCTAGATTAGCACCTCCCCAGAGGACAGAAGTTTTCCGCGGCAGACACAGCTGATTCACACAGCCAGTCGGCCTGGTGGTCAAATCCCTCTAGTATTAACTACAACAATCAAGGCTCAACTAGAACAAGACTGCGCACAAAGACCACTAGGGGGTGCACCAAGAAAGCATAAAAAATGCGGAGACAAAAAAACATGACAGAAATGGAGGATATAGAGCTAAAAATCGCAATTTTGAGGGCTTGCAAAAATGTGCTAGAAGCTGTCAATAAACTTGAGGAGAGAGTCACGAAAACTAATGAGACCCTCGATGCTATGATAAAGAACCAACTAGAAATTAAGCATACACGGACTGAAATAAAGAATATTATACAGACACCCAATAGCAGACCAGAGGAGCGCAAGAATCAAGCCAAAGATTTGAAATGCGAAGAAGCAAAAAACACCCAACCGGAAAAGCAAAATGAAAAAAGAATCCGAAAATATGAAGATAGTGTAAGGAGCCTCTGGGACAGCTTCAAGTGCACCAATATCAGAATTATAGGGGTGCCAGAAGATGAGAGACAGCAAGATATTGAAAACCTATTTGAAGAAATAATGGCAGAAAACTTCCCCCACCTGGTGAAAGAAATGGACTTACAGGTCCAAGAAGCGCAGAGAACCCCAAACAAAAGGAATCCAAAGAGGACACCACCAAGACACATCATAATTAAAATGCCAAGAGCAAAAGACAAAGAGAGAATCTTAAAAGCAGCAAGAGAAAGAGACTCAATCTACAAGGGAAAAGCAGCAAGAGAAAGAGACTCAATTACCTACAAGGGAATACCCATACGACTGTCAGCTGATTTCTCAACAGAAACTTTGCAGGCCAGAAGGGAGTGGCAAGAAATATTCAAAGTGATGAATAGCAAGAACCTACAACCAAGATTACTTTATCCAGCAAAGCTATCATTCAGAATTGAAGGTCAGATAAAGAGCTTCACAGATAAGGAAAAGCTAAAGGAGTTCATCACCACTAAACCAGTATTATACGAAATGCTGAAAGGTATCCTTTAAGAGGAGGAAGAAGAAAAAGGTAAAGATACAAATTGTGAACAACAAACAATCTTCTATCAACAAGTGAATCTAAGAATCAAGTGAATAAATAATCTGATGTACAGAATGAACTGGTGATTATAATGAATCAGGATCATAGAAAGGGAATGGACTGACTATTCTTGGGGGGGAAAAGGAAATGGGAGATGCGGGAAGAGACTGGACAAAAATCGTGCACCTATAGATGAGGACAGTGGGTGGGGAGTGAGGGCAGAGGGTGGGGCGGGAACTGGGAGGAGGGGAGTTATGGGGGGGAAAAAAAGAGGAACAAATGTAATCTGAACAATAAAGATTTAATAATAAAAAAAATTAATTTCAATAACAGGTGTACCATGGATTTATCTAAAATTGTTAGATTTTAGATCTAAAAATTTTCTACATGAGAGGAAATGATACACATGTTCATCAATTTAAATGAAACAATTTTTTTTTACATTGTCACTTTAGTTAGTGGTCAAAACTAAAAGATTTTATGTCTTGGGATAAATAATAATAAAGATGATAATTAGGTACTTAGCAAATCAGTACCATTACATCATTTGGAAGATTTGCAATTTGATTACATTAGAATTTTCTAAAATTTGGACCATACTGTTGCTAAATCCTACTCAATTTCTTATGGGTTTATGGTTCTTTCATGAATGAGTGGTTCCTTAGGACAGGTGCTTCAAGAGCTGCCAATGCATAATTTTGCACAAAAGCTTTTTTCTTTCTAATTATATGCTTTCTTCACTGAGTTAGGACTCTCAGGGTGGTTGCTGACCATGAAAGTTTACTTTTTCTTTTTTAATATCTATACCAAGTACAATCATTGCTCAGGAGGAGAGGCCATCAAACACCAGCCTTCCTTAATAAGAGGAAACAGATATCTCAACTACTGACATGGAATTCTTCTCGGAAAATGCCTGCACTGGTTGACAACTTGACAGCAACTAGCTCTGAGTTTGGGTGGTTCTAAATCTCTTACCAGGAGTTTGTAGTTGAAGATATTGGTGCTTTTAGTCTTTGAGCAAAATGAGTTGCTAGAGAAGATTGCTGCTAAAGTCGCATGATTTCCCCTCATTTCAGGCCTATTACCACCATTACTCAACTTGTTCATGTGAAGCTCTTTCTAAGTCTGTTATTTCACTAGAAGAATTGGATGAAACTGCTAAAATTCTCATGGGAAAATAAAGAGATTAATATTTATTCAAACTAAGACATCAGTGACCAGAGCCTTTTTTTTTCTTGGACACACACATTGATAATCTGGGGAAGAAATTGAAGCCACTTGGCTGCCTAAATACAAGCTCAGGTTGGAGGGTACTGTGGCTCCCTGGAAAGTGAAAACAATGCAGCTAAGATATATCAGCATACTTTAAAACTTGGTTTAAAGTTAAGTGTGTTTTTTGCAATGTTTTTGTGACAGTGTCAGGGAAGGCTAAGTCTTGAGCAAATCTAGTTAAATATCTTCAATATATAGTATCAGGTTCAAAGATGAAAATTCAAAAAATGTAAGTCAAAATCAGGTTCCTGACAAGGCATACATACACTTAAAACAAATAAGGATGCAAGAAAAATGCAACATAACTTTACAAGACGGAACATGATTAAGTGATAAACGAGTCAAATAGCTGTACTTTCAGTTCTAACAAAACATTAGTCCTCATGGTCTTCAATGGTCTGAGAACATTTTGTAGAAGAAAAGAACCTTAAAGCATAGGAAGGGATTTAGTCCAAGAGGAGGAGACACAGGTCCATTGCAGGATGATTACCTCCCACGTGTAGAATGAAACTATCATTGTTTGCCAACTATGTGTATTCCTGATCTGAGCCAATTTGTTCTCTTGTTCACACATAAACCTGCCTGGACAATACTGGGGTTGCCTCCCAGCTAGGCTTTAATCCAGAGTGAATAATCCTGGCTCACATGGATCAATTCCACTGTGGCCCACACTAGCTCTTTTCTGTAAGTAAAGGGTTGTGGGCACAACCCTTACCACGAATTCTCCACCTGAAATGAATGCAAAACTTGGCACTGTGGAAAACCTACATTTAGCGTCTCCAACAGACTACTTAAAGAAACTGACATGTTAAGCTAGGCATCAGATAATTCGCCTCTAAGCCTCTTTCAAAAACAAATTTTATTTCTCATTTTATATCTCTACACATACCTATATCTAACTATGCATAATTCTTTTACATTTAGTTTGGTTCCTCTTTTATTACCATGTGGTTTTCTGAGTCCTAAAATCATATGATCTCAGTATGCTATCCTTAGCACAGTACGTACAACACCACAAAGAAAAATAAAAGCCTTGGCAAGGTTT